CGCGCGCGCGCGCCTCCTAACCAGAAAGGCGCCGGGACCCGCCTCGGGGAACCCGGCGCCTGCGCAGAGTCCATTTCCCCCACCACCTCTTCAGCTCATGTACGAGCCGCGTCCCCTCTCCCGCGTGAGCGCGCCCGTTCTCTGCGTGTGGGCGGGGCCAGATCATGAATGATTCATAAGGCGGGGTCTCGCCATCAAGCCTTAACCTGCCCAGGCCTGGAATGTGTATTCCCATTCAGCAACACAAATTCAGCAAATATTTATTAAACGCCGACTGTGTGCCAGATCATGTTTTACGCATTGGCACTAAACAAGATAGACAGAAATCCCTGCCCTCGTGGAACTACCTTCTAGTGAAGGAAGATAACAAAATCTTTGGAAATACAGCCCAAGGTTTGATAAATGTTATGGAGAAAAATTAAGCATGAGCTGGAATGCCAAACAGTAGTCAGGGTAGGCTTTGCAGAAAAGGAGGACATTTGAACACAGACCTGAAGGATTCACAAAATGGACACAAGAGTTAGGTAGATTGGAATAAATAATGGCTGAGCAGGAAGGTAAAGGAGTTTGGGGACTTGTCTGTCTTCATTCATTCAACAAACATTTACTGAGCACCTGTGGTGTGCCAGGCATTGCGCTGGCCATAGAGTGCTGAGCATGACAAGCATGATTAGTTGTCAAGCGGCTCACATGGTGGGGGGGGCAACAATAAGTAAGCAAATTAATACAGATAAATGACATTGCCACATTCATAGGCTTCTCAAATTTAAATAGCCAAAGCTAAGCTTCCGATCTTCCCAAACCTGATCATCCCACAGTCATCCCCATTTCAATTAATGGCGCCTCCATCCTTCCAGCTGTGTGGGCAATAAGCCTTGCAATCAATCCTTGCCTCCTCTTTGTCTTTGCACCCCACATCCAGGTTCAGGAAATTCTGTCAGTTCCATCTCAAAAGTATATACAGGGGGTGCAGTCAGTTAGGCAACCAACTCTTGGTTTCCACTCAGGTCGCTTGGGTTGTGATCTCAGAGTTGTGAGATCAAGCCCCACGTGGGACTCCACATTCGACGACGTGGAGTCTGCTTAAGACTCTCTCCCTCTCCCTCTGCCCCTCCCCACCAGACTTGCTTTCTCTCTGTCAAATAAATAAATAAATCTTAAGAAAAAAATAAAAAGTATATACAGAATCCACCCATTTCCTCCTGCCTCCATGGCCCCACCCTAGTCCTATCCACCCTTGCCCTGTCTTCACCTGGACGGCTGCAGCAGGCTCCTTACCATCTCCCTGCTCCCCTTCCCATCCCTCCACCCCACTCTCTTTCCCACAAGAAGCCCGAGGGAGCCTGTGAATACCTGAGTCAAATCTCTCACCTAAGTCTCTCACTCCTCTGCTCAGAACCCCTCCTTGGTGCAATACTGAGTATGAGTCAAAGTCAAAGAAAGGAGGAAAGGCTAAAGAAGGACTCTTCTCTGCCCTGGCCCAGCCCAGCCCCGCTTTTGAAACAAGACACTCCTGGGGGTGCCTGGGTGGCTCAGTCGTTAAGCATCCGCCTTTAGCTCAGGTCATGATCCCAGGGTTCTGGGATCAAGCCCTGCATCAGGCTCCCTGCTCAGCGGGAAGCCTGCTTCTCCCTCTCACATTCCCCCTACTTGTGTTCCCTCTCGCTGTCTCTCCGTCAAATAAATAAAATCTTTAAAAACAAAAACAAAACAAGACACTGCTGGAGCTTCAGCCAGACCCCCAAGGTCTTCCCCATCCTGTCCCCATTTCCCCTCCCACTTCACCTCCCTCTTCCCCTCTCAGTCTCTGAGCTCCTGCCACACAGCTGACTTCCTCCTCACTGTTCTTCAAACACACCTGGCACCTTCCAGCCTCAGGGCCTTTGCACTGGGTGATACCTTGTTACCGCTGCCTGGAACACTTACCCCACATACTGGATCCCCAAAGCTTCAACAGCCTCCTCCACTGCAGGTCTGCAAAAATATCCCCTCTTCAGTGAGACCTTCCCTGACCACCTTGGTTAAAATAGCATCTACACCTTCCCTCCTTTATTTTTTCCAGAGTACTGATCACCATTTAGCATACTACATGATTGGCTTGTGGTTCATCTGTCTCTTTCCCAAGAATGTCAGGCCGTGAGCGTGGGGATCTTTGGTCACCGCCGTTTCCCTAGTCTCTGAAGCAGTGTCTGGCACAAGATAGCCACTTAATATATCTTGGGTGAATGAATAGATGGACTTAAAACCATGATGAGGAGTTTGAATTTTATTGGAAATGCAATGGGAAGTTCAGGGAGGACCCTAAGCAGGAGGAGGGCTGGGATTGCTGTTTACAGGATCCAGCAGCCACAGGAGGGGAACAGACTGTAGGTGGAGTGAACGCATGGAGACCAGCCAGGGGGCTGCCACAATGGTCCAGGTGAGCATGGTCAGGACCAGGGTCTGGAGGAGGAGAGAGCTGTGGAGGACGAGCAGTGGAAGCATTTGGAAAAACGGAGCTGACAGGACTGACTGTCGTGAATTGGATGGGGGGAGGGGGTGGCCATGAGAATGAAGGAAGAATCCAGACTTAAGACGGCTCCCAAGGGTTGGACCTGAGCGACCCGGGAGTGCGAACTTGATTGGAGTCAGGAAAAGGAAGAAGGTAAGGGTTGGAGGTAGACTAGAGCAGGACCTGGCCCAGTGTGAACGGAGAGGATTGTGTCACAGTCAACCTTCGGGGCTGAGGATGAGAAGACACGGCTCCTCCAGGTATGGGAGCTCATGGATTTCTCCCCACCTCTTTCAAAAAAGCACTGGAAGGGATCCGATGGCACACAAAGGAAAGGGACAAGGCCTGGGCACCTCCCATTTTCCCAGGGGATGCCGGGACCTGGCCAAAGATCCAAGAGCGCTGGCTGTGACCTGGAGAACCAAACCAGGACTTTTGTGCTGGTCCTAGTTGGCAGGGAGAGCCACTGGGGCTATGGGCCATCAGCCCCACCCTGCCTGCTCCCAATGGACACTGAAAAGCCTTCTAGAGGAAGGGCTCAGATGAAGTGGATGGCCCCAGTCAGTGAGGTTTAAAGGCTCCCTTTATTTATAAATGTTACGTGTGACATTTTGGTTTTTTTAAATAAGCTCTATGTCCAATGCAGGACTTGAACTCATGACCCCAAGATCAAGATGCTCTACCAGCTGAGCCAGCCAGGCGCCCCTGTTGTATTCCATTGCTAATTCTAGTTAGTGAAACGAACCAAACAGGGCTATGTCCTCCTAGGGTGGGAACGTGAACAGATACCGCGGTGTCGAGAGGGGACTATGGAAGCAACTGAAATAAGCCCGAGAGAGCAAGACCGGCAGCAAACATATCGTCTCTTACTACAGGCCAGACTATGTTCAGCTCTTCAAATGCATGAACTCACAGCAACCACTTAAGTGGGTGCTCTCCCCAGCTGGGAAACTGAGGCACAGGGAGGTCAACCAATGTGCCTAAGGGTCGCTAGGCTGGGGTTTGAAAGCAGGCAGGCTTTCTCTATAGCCAGGTCTCTTAGCTGCTCGAAGGATCCTCCCAGAGCAAAAGCAGTAGGCTAAGAAGGAAAAGCTGTGGTTTTCCAAAGAGGTCAAGGTCATTTCCTCTTCCCTGCAGAGCAGCCAGTCAGTTGTGCGGGTTGTATCTACATGAAGGCACCTGCCGACTGGGGTGAGTGGGAGTCCTCACGCAGAGGGGGTGCCTTTTGACTTACACGATCTAATAGCGTCCCAGTATTCTCTCCTACGCCCCTCTCCCACCCCCTAGGGCTGGCTCCCAAGTTTCGAGCCACAGAGGCACCTTTTGTCCCCAGGACTTGGGCACACCCTGCTTCCTGGCTCCTGCTCAGGTCTGGAACCCAGGGCAAAGGGTGTCCCGCCCTGCCCTGGCTCCCAGTGTCCTCAAAAGAATGGTGGGTGTGAATGCAAGCGGACAAGGGAGGACCAGGAAGCGGGGGACAGCCCAGGCACCGCCACTGCCCTCTCCGGAGGCCAAGCTCAGGCGTAATGGCTCACGAGAATGAAACGCTTCCTCAGTGACAGCTGCGGGGCTACGCTAAGGGCTGGACATCTACGATGGCATCTCTTTTCCTCCACTTTCCCCCAAAGGCAGTCGCTGTTGTCGCTACCCCTTCTTCCTGCACACACCGGGCTCAGAGGGGAAGACACTTGCCCAAGGTCACTCTGCCAGGCTCGAGTCCTTCCTGTGTAAGACTGGGGTAACCAACCCAGCTACAGAGCAAGTAGCACTGGCCAGGTGCAGGCTGAGACTTGTGGATGGGGGGAGGGAATGGCCTAGCTAAAAATCCCAATTTTCCTGTAGTCTCTCCAAGCAGAATGGTGAGGACTAGTTCACAACCTTGGGGACAAACAATTCTGAGTCTGAAATTAACAACCCCCGTTTTCTAAGAGCCAGGAACAGGTTAGGCCCTGATGAGACCTTTACTGGCAAGAGCTCTTGGAATCCTCCACAAATGACAAGGGTGGGTCATTGTCCCCTTTCCACCGATGAGGAAACTGAGGAACAGAGGCAGAGTCACCAAGCCAAGGACACACAGCAATGGGCTGAGCAGGAGCCAGGATAGGAGGCGGACTGAATCCTCTCTCATTCACTCCTCCAGCCTCTGTGGGGCCAAAAGGCAAAGGTGGTGCCTCCCCTCACCAGGAACCCACTCCTGTTCACCTAGGTGTTTGAGAAGGCAGAAGAGCCCCGGCCACACCCAGCTGCAGGGCAGGACTCCTACATCTGATTCATTCACATCCCCCTCCTTGCTGACTCATGGCTGCCGGCTCCCTACTGGTGACCTGGCAGGTCCCGAAGGTGGGGGTGGAAGGTCGGTTGCTGGGGCGGGACAGGGGAGGAAGGAGGAGGGAGGCCCTAGGCAGCAGGGAGGTGGCTCCCGCACAGAGTGGGCAGAGGCCTGCTCCCAGGCTCCCCCTGGTGGGCGAGGGGCAGAGGCAGGAAGCCAATGAGCGGGAGACAACAGGAGTTAAGCCAACAACTCTTTATTCAACGCCTGCCGAGTTACTGGGAGGAGGCCATGATGCTGGACACACCTGTTGAGAACGGAAGACGGGAGCAGGTCAACAGGGCAAGAATGGGAGACCAACCTCCAGCCACCAGCTATGGCACCCACAATTCTTTAGGGGGCGCAGATCACAAACCCCTTCTGGGCCCTGGTCACCTTCACAAAGACAGTTTGGTGGGTTGTTTTTTTTTTTTTTTTTAAGTAATCTCTGTGCCCAACATGGGGCTTGAACTCACAACCCCAAAAATAAGAGTCGCACTCTCTACGGACTGAGCCAGCCAGGCGCCCCACAAAGGCAGTAGGGGGCGGTAGTTAAGAATCTCCACCCCCGAGCAAGGAGGCCTGCATCCGGTACCAGGTGGGTGACCTCAGGCAAGTTCGTGAACAGCAGCTTCCCCACCTGCACGAAGCATGGACCTGACATGCTCAGAACAATGCTCGGCACCATGAGCTCCTGGTTCTTCTCACTGCCGCCACAGCAACATTTTCTGTGTGCTGTCTGCAAGACATGCTGAGCGCCAGCCTTGCAGCTCCTCACCGGAGAGCCCTTTCCTGCAGTGACTTCTCACCCAGAACCCGAACACAGGGGGCACCTCTCACTTAGAGCGAGGGTCCACAGGCCCCACGTGCCGAGATGAGGGCCCACTGAGTCTTGATCCTCAGTTCAGCACCAAATGAGCTAGTCTGTAGTGAGAAACCACGCTGTACCAAGACACACCTTTAAAACCCCAGGATCAGACTCAAGGGATGGGGTGGGGGGTAGAGGAGGCCCATGGCGCAAGGGAGCAGCCGATCCCTGGGTTCTGACTCACTCTCCGACACACGCACGGTGTGGTGAGGGCCTGGCCACACTGCTGTTCTGCTCCCTTCACCGAGGGGCCAGGGGGGCTGCGGTCGGTTAGCGTGCGTGCAACAGTGCCAAGCACGGCCCACGCGGCTCTTTGCTCCGCTCCGTGCTCTACACGGCCGTCTCACTCTGCCCTCACTCCTCCACGTACGTATTAGGATACTGTCCACTTACAGTAACGGCCCCTACCGTACGGGGCTCACGTGAGGACCAAACCACCTGCTAAGCGTCAGGAACTACACAGTAATTGTCATAATGAGTGCTGCCGGGATCCCCACTTATTGGATGAGAAAACTGAGGCAGAGAGGTAAAATCACTTGCCCCGAGTGGCAGAGCTAAGAAACCGAGACCCGGGGTCCCCGTCCCACTACCCGAGTCCAGAACCCGCACTTTCTGGCGTTCCTTCGGATGCCAGGGCCGAGGCGCCATCTCCAAGGACAGACTGCCAACAGGCCGGAGCCCCCGGGAGTCCCCGGGAGGGACCCCCCCCCCCACCATTCCTCCCTGGGCAGGCAGCCCCATGAGAGAAGTCAGTGGACTCCAACAGATGCAAAGATTCTGGCCCTGAACCAGACCACAGCTACCCAAGTCCTTTGGGGCCCCAGCCCCGGTCTGTCGAGGGGCAGCTCCTTAGACCCATAGTCTGCAGCCTCGGGCCAGCACTCACTGTCGAAGTCGATCTTCTCCACGATGTTCTTGGGCTTGATGCTCTCCTCCTGGCTACAGATGAAGATCTGGCCCGACTCATCAGCGCTCCAGCCGTACTTGCTCATCCACACCTTTAGCTGGCTGTCTGCAGGTGACACGGGCCATGCAGGGGCTCAGTCATCCGCTCCCCCAGGACCACAGCCAAAGGCCGGGGCGCCCTCCCGGCCCAACTGCCTCAGCGGCCACCATATCTCCTGCAGCTGCACTTGCTTGCGTTTCTACGGTTCATTCTCCAAACGGCAGCCAGAGGGAGCCTGTCGGCTTTCCCACCCTTACATCACAGGGCCTCTGTCTCCCCTTCTTTCATTTCTACCCCTCTTTTCTCTCCCAGAGCAAATCTCAGTTTCCAACAACAGTGGTGTGCTTCCTTCCCTGCTTTTCCGCAGAACTTTGAAATGATTTTAAAATTATGTCCTATCACGAACCATAAGCCCAGAGCCTCAGCTGGGAATTTCTTTGCAGGCTGTTTTGGCTCTTAAAAAACCTGCCAGGGAGGACGTACGGCCAGAAAACGTCCTGCTACTTGAAGTAATTCTTTTGTGGGACTATTAGCAATTTGATAAATTCATCCGCTTCTCTTTGGATTCAACTCTAAGAGTTGTTTGATCCCTTTTTGACTTAATCTCACTTTTAAATATACAAAACATCTACCTGATGTAAAGCACTTAGTGTAGCCCGATACAGTGTCCAATAAGTTAGCTTCTGCTAACACACACACAACCAGATCAAAAGGCAAAACTACCCAAATAAGGTACTCAGACAAGTCTCACCCCCAACCCACCGCTCTCCCTCCCTGTGCTCACCCCCCACCTCCCAAGGAGTAACCATTTTCCTTAGCTTTATTTTTCTTCCTGTTTCTTTTTGCAAAAAGGAGCCAATACACAAACATTTTTCTTTTCTTTCTTTCTGGAAAAATTTTTTATTTTTATTTATTTACTTATTTTTATTCATTTGACAGAGAGACACAGCGAGAGAGGGAACACAAGCAGGCGGAGCGGGAGAGGGAGAAGCAGGCTTCCCGCGGAGCAGGGAGCCCGACGTGGGGCTTGATCCCAGGACCCTGGGATCATGACCTGAGCCGAAGGCAGACGCTTAAATGACTGAGCCACCCAGGTGCCCCTTATTTATTTATTTTTAAGCATGGAGTCCAACGCAGGGCCTGAACTCATTACCCTGATATCAAGAACTAAGCTGAGATCAAGAGTGGAATGCTTAGGGCGCCTGGGTGGCTCAGTCGGTTAAGCATCTGCCTTCGGCTCAGGTCATGATCCCAGGGTCCTGGGATCGAGTCCCTCATTTGGCTCCCTGCTCTGCAGGGAGCCTCCTTCTCCCTCTCCTCCCTGCTCATGTTCTCATTATATCTCTGTCTCTCTCTCAAATAAATAATAAGTAAAATCTAAAAAGGAAAAAAAAAAAAAGTCAGACACTTAATTGACTGAGCCACGCAGGTGCCCCTGGAAGAATCTTTTAAAAAACACAAATCTGCTCATGTCCCTCCCTGCTCAGAACCCCCGTGGCTCCAGCTCACTCAGGACAAAGGACTATGTCCTCAGGAAGCCCCATGGTATCTGAAGATGTCCCTCCCACCGCCACTTCTCTGCCCCTCGGCTCCGCCCCTCGCTCACTGTGCTCCCACCAGGTACCTTGGCTGCTCTGTGAACAAGACAGGCGCAACCCTGCCTCAACACCCTCTGGTTTCCTTGGCCTTCAGTGCCTGTCTCCACTGAGGCACTAGTCACCTCAGCCCGGTGAGCTGTCTTGTGTGAGTTCACGCTAGACTTGTACTTCTCATTTTGTTATCTAAGTTTTGCTACTGCCATGAGAAGAAATCTGAGCCACTCTGTTTCCTTCACTGCTGAGTCCTCCAGGCCTAGAATAGTCTGGTACAGAGAAAGCATTCAAATAACTTATGCAGAATACAATAAACGAATACCATAGCAACTCCCCCAAGGAGGGGTATGTTTTATTTATGTTCCTTACTCCCTCAATAACGAGCAGAGCTGGACCTTCAACAACAACTTGCTGAAGCAGGGATGGGTCCATCTGAGGAGCTGGCCGAGGCCCACGGCCCCTGACCATCCCAACCTCCTTGATTGGCACCAGGAACCCAGAGAGGCCTTACCCGTCAGATCCCCGAGCATCTCAGCCAGCAGCCAGCGATCAATGTGCTGATAGGTGATGCCCACAACGTGGCAGATAACTGCAGAGATGAGGAACGAAGATGGTAAAGGGCCACCCTCAGGACCTTGCTGCCACTCCCTATCCCCTTCCCCCTGGGAAACCCAGGTACCGAGACGGACTTACATTTTCGGACAGAGTCTTCAAAGCCGGTTATACCTTCCAGGAGGTCCATGTTTTCATCCAGGGCTTGCTATGAGGGCAATGACAACGTTCACAATAATGTAACTTCAAGAATATTATTGTTAATGAAATTAGCAACAGAAGCTACGACTTGGGCATCCACCTCACATGCCAACTTTCTTCTCTGTGCGACCCTGTAACGTAAGTCACTATTTTCTGCCCATTTTTGGAGATGAAAAAAACAAGGCTCAGAGCAGCTAAGTGACTTGCCCCAAATCGCAGAGCTGGGGGTTGAACCAGGCAGGCAGAAACCACAGACCCAAAGAGGGAACAGAGACAGATTAGCTAATTGCACTCACCCATCGGAGAAAAGGCCAAGTGTCCCATAAGACGTTCTCCCCCTCAGCCCTTCGCTCCAGCCGCAGGGGCCTCCTTGCTGCTCCTCAGACACACCGAGCACCCGCCCACCTTAAGGTCTTTGAGCTGGCTGGTGCTGGGTCTCGAACTCTCCTTCCCCATGGCTGGCACCCCTACGCCCTTCAGGCTTTTGTCCAAAAATCACCTTCCCAGCAAGGGCTCCTTCCAACATTAGTGTGGGAAATGAGGAACCCCCAAGGACAATGCAGAGGATGTACAGGAGAGTAACTGTCCTGGGAGCCAAACGATAAAAGGATTTGAGGGAGCAGTGTGCAGCCCCCATCAGAGGTGGGTTTCATCGTGCGTGCAGACGGGCACACGTATACATGTGGGAGACCAGGGCGGTAGAAGGCTGGTCACAAAAGCCTGAATGGAACGAACACAGCAGCTTCAAGTGAGCAGGGAGAGGAGGAGAAACTGAGCACAGGCAACCCTGCCCACGAGCGGGGTAACCAAGGGCCCTGCTCCGCCTGACCCCGAGGGTTTCCCGGGGATGCGAGACTTTCCTCTCCATGGGGAACAGAGAAAGAGGGCAGGAGGCAGACGTGGTGGGGCACGTGGAAGTTCAGGGAGAGTTCTCTCCTGCAGGCGAGAACGAACTACAGGGTGGACGTGGTCTCCTCTGACAGAAACAACCGGGGAAGGCAGGCCCTGCTGCTACAAGAGGAGGGAGGAGCGCCAAGGGGGCGAGGGGCAAGGGGAACAGCGTGCCAGCCGGGGGGCGGCCTGAGATGGGAGGAGGGACGACACCCCGACTGAAACAGAAAAGCGTTCAGTCGGCCGACAGCAGATGCCGAGGCTGAGGGCAGTCACGCATGGGAGTTCTGCTTTGGCTACTTCGGTCTTCCCACAAAACAAGGCGGAGGAGCGGGTGTTGAGAAGAGGAGGGAAGGAGAGGGGGCGAGAAGGCGTGAAGAGCTGGGAGTGGGCGGTGAGCCCCTGGGCCAGGAGGGGATGCACACTGCGGGGCTGATGGGCCTCCCTCCGGCCACTCGCAGTGTCCGGTGCAGACTCCCGCTGACAGCAGAAGCATAACGGAGGGCCCGGGCTACTGGTCAGGCCTAAGCACACCAGGCTGGAGCCCTCCCAGGGGTGAGCCGGGAAGCTGGGAGGAAGTGGTCGGAGGTGGGGGGTGGAAACGTCGGACACTGGCAGAGAAGGGAGCAATGCTGCTGAAGGTAGGGACTGGGGGGCGGCTCCCCAGTTTCCCGGGGCATCAGGGACATCTGCGATAACTGCTTTGGATCCCACCACCTGCACCGCACTCACACCGATGAGACTCGGATGGCCTGAGTCAAGGATCAGTTTCGTTTTGTTTTTTAAACTCCTCGACGGTCCAATGTGCTGAGAGCTGATCTAGGGCATGACTGGGAGGGAGGGGCCGAGGTCACGTGGAGGACAAGAGATGGAGGCACCCCAAGGTCGGGGTGGTGGAAAGATCACTGGTCTGGCTTTGCAAGCAACTGAGAGCGACAGAAGTAGCAGTGAGTGGGGGTGAACAGGAGCTTGGTTACTCACGAAAGGAGGCGAGGCTGTCAGGGGCTGAGACCAAGAGAGTGGGGCAGGAAGTGCCAACACCCGGGCTTCAGGACTGAGGGGTTTTGTGGGGGAGAGATGGGCCTGGGGATGACGGTGAGGAGGACCCTGGCAGAAGTGGAGGGTGTGGATCCAGTTCGAGCAAGAAAGGGAAGGAGCATCCAGAGGATGGAGGACTTTGGCAGGAAGGTCAGACGTGGGTGCGTGCACACGTGCCCCGGCCTGGGGACACAAGGGACAACGTGGGAGTCCTGGCTCAGTGCGAGGATGATGAGTCCACGCGGTCACCCACGCAAAGCCCTGAGCACAGGATCACCCGTGGTTATACAAGCAGACAGCAAATGTGAGTGGTTGTTCCTTTTAGCAGCCTGTCCCGCCTCGGCCCAGCGGCCCAGCCGCCCACCCTGGCCCTGGAGCCAAGTTACCCAGAAGGCCTGGAAGTGGCAGGTCTCCAACAGGTCTCCGAGGTACAAAATCTGTCGGATTGGCCGTTCTTCTTGCTAAGAGGAGGAAGTGTTAAGGGAAAACAGCCCTGAACCCACCTTCTGTTCACCGTAGCATGCTTAAGGCAACAGGTGATCCGGCAATGGAGACACGAAGCCAAAACCTGGCCTGTCCACACTCTGGGGTCGAGTCAACTCTTAGAGACCTCACGTGGAGATGCAACAAGACATGCTGGAAGGTGAAAAAGCAAAATGCAGACCAACATGCATAAGAGGCCACCATCTGGATGGGGGGGCTGGTGTGTGTGCACGCGCGCGTATGGGTGGGGACACACACACCTGTACTCAGGGTATCTCTGGAAAGGTACCTGAGAACAGCAAACAACCTGCCTCCTGGCAGGGGAGTGCGGTGCCTGTGGGACAGGGGAGGGAGGAGGCCGTCTTTTTCCACCATATGCTTTTTGTACTTTTAACAGCGTACCGTATGCTTTTTTTTTTTTAAAGTTAACAGAACAGACCCCTGGGCAAGGTGGACAATCTCTCAGAAGGCAGGCACGCCCATGGACACACACAGGTTCAATGCGTAAGCCCCCATTTCTCAGCTCAGCTGCTGATGGGCAGGTTAAGTGTGACCCTCGGGACTGTGAGTGCCAGAAGCACAGATGGGGGGACTCTGCCAAGCTTGTCAAGTGATTCAAGGGCAGAGGGAGGCTCCCCTGGCCAAGTGGTGGACCTGTCACAAAAACGCAGGCCAGAGGAAAGCAAAGGGTGGGGGGGGGAAGCCAGTTCATTTTCAGTCAACCTTTAGTCACGGACGGCCAGCGCGGTGCCAGATACGGAAGACACATAGAATGAAGTTCAACTGATGCTCCAGCTCTTCATGGCTCCTGCCTCTTGCCTGGTGGCCTTCACTCAGCTACAACCCTCAGTGGGAATCCTTCTAAAGCCTAAATCTACCCAACTCACTCTGCAGTTTAAGCCTTCTATGGCTTCCCGGTGCCCTTCCGAGCCTGACCAGATTGCATTTTGAAATCTGTGGTGAGGCTGCGCCACACTTCTTCTATGAGCTCTGAAAGAGCACTGACCTCTTCTTTTTTCTCTCTGGGCCTCCTTACATACTGTTCCCTCCACCCGGATCACCCTTCCCTAGCACTTCATTTAGCTCATCTTTCAGACGTTCCCTCCTCCAAGAAGCCCTCCCTAACATCCGGGCAGGGTCAGGTGCTTCCTCTGGCCTCTCTAAACCCTGAGCCTGGACGAGTGCAGGTGGTCCCTGATAGAGGACCTCTCTCACCCACTGCATGGTGAGCTCAGGGAGGGCAGGAGCCAGGCCTGTCACAGCCACCCAAATGTCCCAACCGGCACCGCGCCAAGCCCAGAGCAGGCGCTCGGAGTTTGTGGCTGAACTCACAGACCGATCACCCGGGAATTCATCTACCTTGCCCCCAGCCCCTCCCCTGCACACCCCACCCGGAAACTGGAAGGATACATGTGCCTGATCAATCATGCACTTGCACAGTGTGAAGTCTGTGTGGGGCAGGTTGGTGAGGGCCTTCAGCAGGATCTGGGCGGTGACTGTGGTTTGAAAGAAGGCTGGGTTGAACTGGTACCTGAGAAGGGGAACAAGAGACAGAGCCATAGTAGCTTCTTCAGCTCCCTGGGCCTCATGAGAGGCCCAGTGCTGTGGCCCAGAGCTCAGGAGTTGGACATGCCTGGGCTCCAATCACAGCACTCTGGCTCTATGACCTTAACCTCCCTGACCTACTTTCCTATTCTGCAGACGGGGACAGTTAATCCTCCCAACCACCCCATAAGCCAGACACTGTTGCGTGGGTCACAAAGAGGGGGCCTGGGTGGCTCAGTCGTTGGGCGTCTGCCTTCGGCTCAGGTCATGATCCCAGGGTCCTGAGATTGAGCCCCACTTCGGGCTCCCTGCTCGGCGGGAAGCCTGCTTCTCCCTCTCCCACTCCCCCTGCTTGTGTTCCCTCTCTCGCTGTGTCTCTCTCTGTCAAATAAATAAATAAAATCTTTTTTTTTTTTTTTAAAGATTTTATTTATTTGAGAGAGAGAGAGAGAATGAGAGAGAGCACATGAGAGGGGTTCGGGTCAGAGGGAGAAGCAGACTCCCTGCTGGGCAGGGAGCCCGATGCGGGACTTGATCCAGGGACTCCAGGATCATGACCTGAGCCGAAGGCAGTCGCTTAACCAACTGAGCTACCCAGGCGCCCATAAATAAATAAAATCTTAAAAAAAAAAAGTGGTTCACAAATAAATAAATACGTAAGTATAGTCTGGAGCAGTGGTCGAGGCTCTGGAGGCAGATTGCTTGGGTTCCAACTTCCCTCATAAGTGACCTTGGACTACCTCTTTGAAATTCTCTGGGCATCAGTCCCCTCCCTCGAAAGAAGGGACAATAACAACCCTATGTACTTCACAAAGACAATACAGCATCTGAGTTAATACACACAAAGCTTACAGCACATTAGCTGCCGCATGATGAGCGCTAAGCAGCAATTACCCCACTAACAATCTAAACAACCCCATAAATGCGAGTGTTACCTCCATTTTACAGATATCAAAACTGAGACAACATATAAAAATTACACAACTGACAGCGTGTTAATACAGCACTGTGGGGATAGAACGCAGAGGTCCATCAGCGAGCGGACAGGTCATTTAGACAGTCTTGCACAGGAAAGCACTACACAAGAAGGACAACTAATTGCAGCCGCAGGAAAAATGGATCGATCTCACAAACTCGGTGCTAAGTGGAAGATGCCAGATGCAGAGAAGCTCATGCTGTAGGACTACATTTGTGTCAAGTTCAACACAGGCAAACCTGAGCCAAGCTCATCAGGATGCATGGGTGTGTGGTAAACTCATATAAAACCAGACCATGAGAGCATAAAAGCGGTTACTAGGGTGGGGGTGAGGTGGCCAGCACAAAGCATACGAAGCAAAGGTCCTGGGGCCCTGATAACACTCAATTTTGTAATAAGCCTGGTGTTTATGTGGGTTTTCACTTGTACTTATTTAGCTATGTTTCTCTGTTTTGTACCAACCTATATGTGTAACGTGTGATTAATTCTTAAAAACCATCTCTCATCCTGTGCCAACTCCCTTGGCTTCCTAGCCTTGCACAACAGGAGAAGCCACATCCGGAAGACCACCCCCAACTCCGTCCTCACCCAATGTTAAGAATGGCCCCCTGCTGGCTGCTGGCCCGGAGGTGGGGATGGAGGCAGACACTCACAGCTTCAGGACGGCCAGGTTGGCTTCCAGATCGTAGGCATTCTCCTTGGCCTGCGTCTCCACATACCGCTCCAGGGTGGCCAGATTCTCAGGATTGTACCTACAGAAGAATCAGGACGGGTGAGCAGAGAGGGAAGAGGAGCTGAGGCCAGTCACTTTGTGGGGGTGGGGGGAGAAGGGCGCTGTAACCTGCTCCTCCTTCCCTTCCTTCCTTTCCTCCAACTCTGCCATTACTCTTGAATCAGCTCTGTAACCTCTAGTAACACTTACCCACATTACAGACCTAAGCCAAAGCTCTGAACCCCATCAGAGCCCTGGGTCTTTTCTAGGATGTCCCCCCCCCCCCACAACACCTCTCAGCCAATCAGTCATTGCAACCTGTACACCTGGCCTCCTGGACATCTTTGCCCCTCACCCCCTCCTCCCCTCTCCAGATCCCCACCCTGGTTTAGCCCCATCCTCTCCTGCTTAGTTTCCACCATCCCAGCCCTGATTACTTCTGGCTATCACTGCCTATTGTCCGGTTTGTCTGGACTCTGAACTGGGAACTCCATGGAAGCATGGCCTGGGGCTGTCTTGGTCACCTCTGGTCCCCAGCACCGCCCAGAGCGAAGAGAGTAGATTTCAGTGACGTGTGCTGAATGAACGGCATTAGAGGAAAAGAAAACAGAGATGAAGAGGCACTGACACACACTGTGCGAGGCTGAGGAGCGGAGTCACAGGAAACTGAGGGGCTGTGAAAGGGAAAGCTGAGGAGCAGAGAGGAAGACCTAAAGCAATTAAAAAGCGGGAGCACTGCGAGGTAGGCAGGGCTGTCTCCCGCCCGCAGGCCTCTGCAGTGCCGTTTCCTTAAACACCGCCTCCTCTAAGACGAGTAGGAAAGCCTACTCCCGGGCCAGTCCAGGATCCTGACCACCCCTTGCGGTCTCTAGAAAAACCCCTCCACCACGCCGCTTGGCCGGAAACGCTCCCTCCGACCGGGCTCAGACCTGTCGATACCCTTGAGCAACTTGCCCACGTTCGCTCTCATCTGCTCAAACATCGCCATGACGAATATCGTCTCCCACGCCGGAGCTGGAGGTGAAGAGCCACCCGGTAGGGCGTCCCCGAGGACCGGAAGAGGAAGAGGTGGTGGAAACGGAAACTACGTCGTGGTCTTCTCCGCGCCGTTGGCGGCGGCTGCCACGTGACTTTCTTCCCGGCGGGCGAAGTTGGCGCGTGCGCATACGCTCCCCCCGAGCCGGACCAACAGCGTGAGAAAAGGCTTGATCTAGTCCAGTACGCAGGCGCCGTCTCGGGGCGAGGAGGCGGGGCGAAGCTTTTCCCGGGCCTCCCGCACCGCGTTCTAGCCCCCTGGGACGTGCGCGCGAACTCCACAGCTGGGAGACGGCTCTCTACCGGTGCACGCGCGTTGTGTTGCGCGCGGTCGTGAACTAACAAAACTGTGCTGGGGTGCGCGCAGTATCCCTTAACTTGGGCCCTGGCCAGATTCCCTAGGGAAGTGCTCTTTGACGTCCCCCTTGCCCCAGGCCTCGGCCTCTGAAGCAGGATCCCGAGCTCTGGGGTCCAGAACCTCGTCCCCACCCTCCGCCCCAACTCCAGCGGTAGGGACCCGTAAGGCTGTGGTGCTCTGCCCGGCAGGGGCGGGCTGGGCCGAAGGGCTCCTGGACGCTGCCGGCTGGCGCTCAGGCCCCTTTAGGCTCCAGTCTTGCGGGAGAAGGCGAGTGCCCTTCTGCACACTAGGCGTGAATGCACAAGCATGTGCCATATACGTGGAGGTATGTGCTCTGGGCGCGTCCACGTGTGTGCACACGGATATCCAGGCACGTGTACGTCTACTGGTCTGCGCACAGTGGGTACATAGGTGGGCACCGCTCAGTGTGTATGTGTACCCCAGGGAACAGGCATGTACAGTGCATGACCACTCCTGTGCTAGCCTACCATCTCCATCTCTGGATGGTGGCCAAACCCTCAAGCACTCAGCAGAGTTTCAACTGTGGTTTTTAGCCACCGCCCAGAACGCGGGAGGGGGAGCCAGGGCACGCCCCCCCCCCATCACAAGATAGTTTGCATCTGGTTTACATTCAGTCCTAGGCCCTGGAGGTGGGGTGGGGGGTCCCCTGGGTCCCAAGACAAGCTGCCCCTCACAGGCTCTCAGGGCCCAGGGGACAGGGGGTGGAGCCCGCTGCACAGCCCTGTGCTGGGGCAGGAAGCGAGAGTGGGGAGGGGGGAGGCCACAGCCGGTGGAGGCAAGGCAAGGCGGGTGCAGGGCGCAGGACGTGTGGGGAGGGAGGGAGGTGTCACACTCGAGCCCTGAGGCCCTGCTGGCCCCTGGGCACAGGCCCAGCTCCAGCCCCCAGGGATGGACCTCGTGGACCCTGACATCTTTAACAGGGACCCCCGGGATCACTATGACCTGCTGCAGCGGCTGGGTGGAGGAACCTACGGAGAAGTCTTCAAGGTGAGGACACCCCTCCTTCTCCATCACCCTCAGACCAGCGAGCCTTTGGGATGAGGCCCAAGAAGGGAAGGGGATGAGAGAGGATCCCAGTCCTTGGCTTTGGCTCAGGGATGCTGAGGAGGAACTCAGGCGAATGGAGCCTGCCTGACTGCCAACTTCCCCTTTACAAGGCTCGAGACAAAGTGACGGGGGACCTGGTGGCAGTGAAGATGGTGAAGATGGAGCCTGGTGAGGACACAGGAGCGCCTTCCCCACACCCCTACCCCTCCTCTTGGGACACCGGGATCGCCTCCCCCATACTCCCTCCCCACAGCGGCCTTTTCTTTCCTGTTCCTCCTCACAGACGATGATGTTTCCACACTTCAGAAGGAAATCCTCATCTTGAAAACTTGCCGGCATGCCAACATCGTGGCCTACCACGGGAGTTACCTCTGGTGATGAGCCTCAAACCTGCCCTGGGACCATGCTCAGCCCCTAGCCCAGAACCCCCATTCCTGACCTCCAATCCTGGACCCCCATTTTAAACTGGGCCCCCCCAACTCGATCCCCAGTCTGAAGTCCCACTTTTCTGACCAGAGTGTTCTCTGATGTAATCTGCAGTTCAGGACTCCCATTTCTGAGCAGGGAACCCCCAAAAGCAATCCCTTCGTAGTAACCAAACCTGAAAGCAAGTCCCCTAAAACTAATCTTTTGTCATCCTGCCCTTCAGGTCCCCCAGTTCCATTCTCTGCTCCTTTCATTCCCTAAATCCCCAGACCCCTAAATTAAAATCCCAGATGCCCCAGTAATGACCTCTGTCCCCCAGACCTGGCACCCTAGGCCCCTTTGTCCCCCCTGAACCTGACCAACTTGGGAGCTATCTGCCCTGTCTTCTGGGTTAGCGTAGATTAGCAGAGTTAGGAGTCCTCCTGGGTTAAGAGTCCAAAGACCTGGGTTTGAGTCCAGTTGACCCTGAACATAGGTTTGCTCTCTGAGCCTCAACTTCCCCACCTGTAAAATGGAAGTGGGATGATCTCACTCTGGTGGGCAAGGGGAGGTGGATGACAGCTATTACCTTAAAGTTCTTTTTTTTTTTTTTTAAAGATTTTATTTATTTATTTGACAGAGAGATACACAGCGAGAGAGGGAACACAAGCAGGGGGAGTGGGAGAGGGAGAAGCAGGCCTCCTGCGGAGCAGGGAGCCCGATGTGGGGCTGGATCCCAGGACCCTGGGATCATGACCTGAGCCGAAGGCAGACGCCTAATGACTGAGCCACCCAGGCGCCCCATTACCTTAAAGTTCTTATTGAGCTGGAACAAGACAGAGAGTGAGCTGGGGGTGTCCCATAAGTGATGACTTATTCCTGCTGTTATTATTACTCGAATTGTAGGCTTCAGAAGTTCTGGATATGCATGGAATTCTGTGGGGCTGGTTCTCTCCAGGACATCTACCAAGGTGAGAGGAAGGGCAAGGGGGATCCAGGGAGCACTCCCTCCTCCACCCCTCCTATCTCTCTGTGGTTGTGTCTTCTGGGACCATCTTTCTGGTCCACATTTCCTGCAAGGAGCCCCGCTCTGGGCCCAGGCCTGGCCTGGTTGGTGTTGGTGCTGGGAATACTGTGGTGACCGAGTGGGCCCTGGGCCCTTGCCTCCAGCACTTGACGGTCCAGCCCCGATCTCTCGGCATGCACTCATCCCCTCCCATCTTCCTCTCTCTGCATTTTCTCACCAACGTGTCCGTTCAGGTGTTCGAGTATTTCTGCACTTTTGGCCCATAGCCGGGTCCACGTTTTCACTGACTGAGTGAATGAATTCCTGACTCTCTCTCTCTCTCAGCCTGCTTCTTACTCTTTTTGAAAATTTGAGGATGGGGATGGGGTGGGCCTCTGATCACCTCTCAATTTCTCATGGTCACCTCTGTCTTCGGCCTCCTCTCTGTCTCTGTGAACCCCAAGATCTCAAATGTCAGACAAAGAAGAAATTCCAGATTAAGTCACCAGGGGGGAAACTAAGGCCCTCAGAGAGGAAGTGGCTCACCCAGCCGGTCTACCAGACCTGGTCTCTGACCCCTTCTCTCTGTCTGTTGTCTCCCTATCGTTCTCTCTCCACCTCTGTGTCTCTCTCTTTTTCAGTTTGTCTTTCTTCGTGCTTTTGGGTCTCAGTTTGAATCTGTTCCCGTTTCTCTGTCTTTCTGTTTCTCTCTCATTATCTGTGTGTGTGCGTTGGTGTCCGTGTCCCTCTGCCTTTCCTCATTTTGCAAACTCCCATCACCCCCTGCTCAGAACACTCCCATGGCTTCCATTTCCCTCTGAAGAGAAGCCCGAGCTCCCCAGGGTGACCCCCACCTGCACCCAAGCTGCCAGACTTCACCTCCTACCCCTTTTCTCTCCCACCCCCACTCTGCTCCACCCACTTTGCTCTTTTCCGAACCCACCAGGCCCTCTCCACCGCTGGGCCTTTGCACTAGCTCCTCTGTTCCCTTCCCAGCTGGACTCATCACATCTTCACCCTGACACTTTCTCAGAGTAGGATAGACTTCACCGACCACCCTGTAAAATGTCATACCCCTTCCCACACATATTTCCTGTTGTTCTTTCTTGCTTTAGTTTTCTTCTTGCTGTTTATTAGCATCTCAGGCGTTATGCTGTAGTTATCTTGTTTACCGTCTGTTGCCCCGACTGGAATGTTCCCTCCACGAGGGCAGGGATCTGTCTATTTTGTCCACAGCTGTCTCCCCAGTGCCCACCACAGTGCCTGGCACCCAGTGGACACAGAAATATCTGTTGAATGAATCTGTCTCCCTCTGGCCTCTGGTTCCCTGTGTTGGTCGCTGACTATCCCTCCATCTCTCCCTCCCACTTGTCCCATCTGTTCCTCCCTCCCCATGTGGGTGGGGGCCAGGTTCTCCCGGGGCCAGGTTTCCTGGTTCCCACCCAACGCTACTGGTGTGACCTTTGCAGTGACAGGCCCCCTGTCCGAGCTCCAGATTAGCTATGTCTGCAGGGAAGTGCTCCAGGTGAGGAGAGACCGGGTGGCCCTGGGTCAGGGCAGGGCCCTGCTCCAGCCCCTGGGCACTCACATCCCCCATGTCCACCCTTCTCCCAGGGACTTGCCTATCTGCACTCACAGAAGAAGATACACCGGGACATCAAGGTGGTCTAGGGGCAGAAAAGTGGCCTGGGTGGGGTGGTGGGGGGAGGCCAGGAGATGGAAGTGGTATGTGGAGGACTCAGGGTGGTATGGAGCTGTGGGGTTGGGAAGGGCCACGGGGTGGAGGCAGCATTGGGCTGGGGGGTGTCTATGACAGCCTCTAATTTCCCCCTCTCTCCCCAGGGAGCCAACATCCTCATCAATGACGCTGGGGAGGTCAAGCTGGGTGAGTGTGGTGGGTGGGGGTGGGGAGGGTACTGGCTGGGGGCCAAGGGAATAAGGCACCCTGGGTCACCATGTCTCTCTCTCTCTCTGCCTCCAGCTGACTTTGGTATCTCGGCCCAGATTGGGGCCACGCTGGCTCGACGCCTCTCTTTCATTGGGACGCCCTACTGGTGAGGGATGCCTGGTGGGGGTGCAGTGGGGGGCGGTGGCCATCCCCACCTGGATCACTAGGAATCTCCTTCCTGGCTCCTTTCCCTGCCTCTACCTTTCCCTATTGAACATTCTGCTTACCGTTTGGCTCTCTCTTGAGTTTCCCTTTTGCCTAGGT